ATATGAAGGGCTGTGCAGTAGCTGGGCAGTGTGTCTCTGGGAAGCCTAAACCTGGGACTTGTTAAAATCAACTCGAAATGCTGCAGCACTGATCTCTGTAACAGCAACAAAGCTCCAGGTAAAGCCAAACACTCTGAAAACTGTACAAAGGACGCTGATTATGAAGGTCCTCATTTATTCTGTCTCATTCAAACAGCCCATTTCAGCTAAAGCTGATGTAACAATCAGTAGTGCTGAGACTTCATTATCAGGATGTCCTGTAAGGAGTAGCTCTGGGTTTAGTCTGTTGTGTGTTGTAATGCAGTGAACTGCAGTAACGATGACGCTAAACCTCTGTACTGAACTGTTTCTCTCTAAAGCTTTGCCAAAAGGCTCTCCAAATGGGAAGAAGTGTTACACCTGTGTTAATGACGACTGCTCAGGAACTGTGAACTGTGAGGGAGATGAAGATCAGTGCATCAGTGGCAGAGGTGAAAAATATTAAAAATGCTCATCTGTAGATCTGAAATGTGATCTTACATAACACATGTTCAGTGTTACACCGCAAGAAAGTGCCTTTAATCTGATTTTGTGGTTAATCTATTTAAATATATTCACCTGTCTAACGTCTCTCTCCCTCTGACCTGCATTCACAGGCAATTCTGGTGGTGCTCAAGTGAAAATGAAAGGATGTGATAGCAGAAGTTTCTGTACTGCAGGCGCAGCGAGCCTGCATACAGCTGGAGTCACAGTTGGGATGCTGTGCAGAATGTAAATAAAAATACAATGCAATAATCCACGAATCATGTAAACCATATTTTTAAAGGAAAATTCTACAAAGCCAACATGTCAAATGTTGAAACTGAGAAATTTTATTTTATTTTTTTTAAATAAAAGCCCATTTTCAATTTGATGCCAACAACACGTTCCAAAAAAGTTGGGACGGGTGCATGTTTACCACTGTGTTTCATCACCTCTTCTTTTAAGAACACTCTGTAAGTGTTTGGGAACTGAGGAGATCAACTGCTGTAGTTTTGAAAGTGAAATTTTTGCAGTTCTTCGTTGGTATAGGATTTCAGTTTCTGAACAGTTCACTGGCTCATTTGTCATATTTTCATTTCATGATGTGCCAAATGGTTTCAGGGGTGAGAGGTCTGGACTGCAGACAGGCCAGTTTAGAGCCTGAACTCTTTTAATACAGAGCCATGCTGGTGTAATGCATCCCGAATGTGGTTTGACATTGTCTAGCTGAAATAATCAAGGCCTTCCCTGAAAAAGATGTTGTCTGGATGGCAGCGTATGTTGCTAAAACATGTATATATTGTTCATCATTAATGGTGCCTTCACTTATGAGCACATCACCCATGCCACATGCATTAATGCCCCCTTATAGCATCATGAATACTCGCTTTTGAACTGTGCACTGATAACAAGCTGAGTGGTCTATAGCCCACAATTGGACACAGTGTCCATGATTTCCAAAAACAATTTCAAATGTTGATTCATCACCCCACAAGAGACTTCACCTTGGTCAGTTATAAATGAGCTCAGGCCCAGAGAAGGTGGCAGCATTTCTGGATCCTGTTTATGTACAGTTTCTGCTTTGGATTCAGAGTTTTAACAGCAACAAACTGTTTTCATAGACAATGTTTTTCAGAAGTATTCCTGAGCCCATGTGATTTTCACTTTCACGTTGAATTACTGCACTGTTTGCTTGTGCAGTCTTTCACAGAGTGATGAAGCCCTCCTCATCTTTACTTCTGAAAGACTCAGCCTCGCTGAGATGCTCTTTTTCTACTCAATCACATTACTGACCTGTTGCCAATCAACCAGCCTTTTGTTGCTCCCATCCCAACTTTTTTGGGAACGTGTTGTTGGCATCAAATTCAAACTAGGCAAATATTTTTCAATAAACAATAAAATTTCTCAGTTTTAACATTTCATATGTTGTGTTATATATATATATATGCGTGTGGATATATATATATATATATATATATATATATATATATATATATACACACGCATATATATATATATATATATATATATATATATATATATATGTATGTGTGTGTGTGTGTGTGTGTGTGTGTATATATTAATCATTGTGACCATGTGACCATATATATATATATATATATATATATATATATATATATATATATTATATATATGTATACATATATATATGGTCACAATGATTAATATCTTAATACATGTAATTAGAATTTTTCATTGTAAGTATTGTATTATATGTATTGTAGTGTGTTTTTTGTAATGTGTTTGGGGTTGTTTGGGGTTTATTATGCTGGTAGACTCTTCTGAAGCGCCGGCAGTGGTAGCTGCCATGTTTGGGCCTATTTGTGCTTTAACTTGTAAAGAACTTTGTAACATTGTAAAATTTAATAAAAAAAATAAAAAAAACAAGATAATCTTTACACCATGTACATGTATTAAATGTATTTTACTCCTGTAAGCAAGATTTACTCATCCGAGAAGAAACACCAAATGCACAACTATCTTTCTCCTGTGTCTTTCTTTCTCCTGGTTATACAGGATATGTCTGCATACGGCGTCTTTTGCCCGAGAACTGGAACACTTTATTTTTTGAAATTATGGCCTTTCAACATAATGTTTACCAGAAGAATTTGGGGTTGGTCGGTAGTGTAAAGGAAATATTTTGAAGAATTTGAAGTACAATGTAACGGGTTTGGCAATTTTTAATATTATTATTGCTAGAACCTTATGTCCACCTTCCTTCTCTGAGGGTGGTTCAAACTTAAGGTGTGTAGACAAACAGGCAAGTTACAAAAACAAACAAAGTTTTCAGATCTGAAAATTTAGCGTCCTAATACTTCTGACCTGTCTTTCTGACCTAGGCCGGCACAAACTTAGAAACTTTTGTTGCGAACGCAGGAACTCCCTAAATTTGCGGTGCACTCTGGTTTTGCTTGGCTGGAAGCCCTACCCTTTGGAGGTAGTGCCATAGTGCTGATAGGTTCTCCTCACCTAAGGTTCTCTGATTGGTTGTGCATAGTTTGCCTTCCCCAAAATCACTGCCTCCTTTGTTTCAGCTAGTTTAAACAAAGAAAAAGAACATTTCTATATCATCCAATTGGTTTAACTTTCAAAATCAAGGAATGAACAATTAGGATATTCAGGCATGTTTTTTAAGAGAGAGTTTAACCCTTGTTACCTGATACACAATACATGTCAAAGAACACAGGTACTACTTGCCTATCATCTCTGAACATGACCCAATGCATGAAAAAAATAAAATCAACAATAAAAGGAAAGGAACAAAGGAAGAAAGAAAAGACAACCACATTCAGGATACATCTTGGTCAATGGTCTAAACTCATAGCAAATAAATGGTTGGGTCTGACTGTTATCAAAGTTATACTCTACATATTTCTAGCACTTAACGATAGAAAAAGATACAGGTAATATTTAGGTACTATGCTTGAGATCCCTAGGGAATTTAGAAAGTCGGAATTTTGCCGTCCAAAGTCGTACAAATTCCGTTTTGGTATGTCTAGTTTAGTTAAAAAGAGTTCTAACGAATGGTTGCAGTTTGGAGTGGACAAATACCTTAGAAATGTACTTTCTGTTACTTAAGATAAAAAGTGGTCCACCTACTTTGGAGAGGCATCTGCCACATTCCAGAGCAAGTGTCCTGTTTTTCTGCTGGGTGAAGGGAGAGGGGTGCTGGTTCTTGATCCGGTTGTAAATTCTGCTGAGTCTGGGTTGGGGTATCAAGCTTGACAGATTTACACCTCCAACGAGTCTTGCTGGAGCCAGAAGGCCCTTAACTTTGGGTAAACACTCAGCTGGAGTTGAAATTCCAGCCATTGTTCACTACAACAAACTAGGTATATATGTATATGTATGTAAAAACTTGAGTGAAATAGTAGTAAAAGTACCTTCTCAAAATACGAATTGAGTAGAAATACAAAACTTGCAGCCTGGAAAACTACTCAAGAATTCAGTATCTTATAGAACTGCAGTGGAACTTCTTAGTAAGTGGGGTGTTCAGGCTTTCCAGTCCAGTGTGGCCACAGGTTTTCATTCAATTCAATATGGAGCACAGGTGGTTCCACCCATTAAATCAGTTGGCTTCAATCTTCAAACAATCGCTTGCTTTGTTGGAATGAAAACCTGCAGCCAACTGGCCCCCTTGATAACAAGACAAGATCTGTCGTTTCATCACGTTTGGTTTCAGCTCACTAACTCTGTACAAACTCGTTGTTTTCCAGACAAAAGATATGGTGAAATAAGCTGGAATGTAACTAGGCTTGTAAAGTTAGATGATAGATGATTATCATTCAGTATGTTTAGCATTAGGAGGATCTACGGGACATTTTTGTCGAGATTGAATTGTGTGCATGTAGTTAATCTTCTAGTACTGATTGTTGTTATTGATTGTGTAAAAAAGTATTATAAGGTTCTATCTGCATCAGTCAACCTGTGCAGCTGATAAATGTGGGAGAACCACGTTTTAATTTCAGTTGAGATCAAGTCATGATGCAATGAGGGTATAGGAAGGTAATTTAAATGAATGCATGACTTCACTGGGCACTGAACACCTCCCATCTGTACCACCTCCAGTCTGAATCTCAACATTCAGAAGCTCAAAAATGATACAGTAGACAATAAGTAGAGCTGTGATATGAATCCAGCCTGTTGTCAATAGGTCCACTTCATTAAACATGAAAGAGAGCCACTTACAAATACACTGACAAGAAGCATCACAAGACAAATCAGTGTAGAAAACTTGACACAAGGAAACTGAAACAACAGACTAGACTGCAGAAAGTAATGGCACAGGTGAGTAAACTAATGATGGGAGACGTGAATGGGAGGAGCCAGGATTGAGGAATGGACAGGTTTACATTAAAAGATGAACCAGGTTTATGGGTTTGTGGGAGGTTCTGAAAAGCCTCCATGAAGCCACACCCCCTTAGATCAGATTTATATCCAACCCAGATCTGATTTCCTCACATTATGAACCTCTCAGATCCACCAACAATGAAGCTGCAACTAACACTGGTGCTCATCTGTGTGCTTTTCCCAAAAGGTATAGGACACGACTTTATAATGGAAAGTTTAGTTTGAGTTTAATCAGTTCAGCTTCTCTAGAATATAATTTAGCCAAGTTGCTGCGACTGTATTGTTAAAGAATCTGTTACATTTGACATTTTTAATGCAATATTATGTGTTAAGTTATTATTATAGTTTTACCTTGGAGATATCAATGCTTTGGTGTATTGCTTGATTCCCCCTTCTTTTTGATGTCACCAGCACTGACACTGAACTGTTACCAGTGTATACCAAGTGCGTCTGGAACATGCACAGACACCCAGACGACCTGTACAGATCAGTGTGGCAGTGCAACCGCTGTTGTGACTATTGGTAAGAAAGATCTCTGTAGAAAATAATGAGACTCAGTCAGAAATTTCTCCATTCACTCATGTGCTCTGTTCACTAGGTGGTGTACAACAGCAGGTAAGTACAAAGACCTGCTTAGCTTCAGGACTGTGTGTCTCTGGAAGCCTAAATATTGGATTTGGGACGATGACCTTCAACTCACAGTGCTGCAGCACTAATCTCTGCAACAGCCAGAACGTGGCAGGTAAACCTAACAGCTTTGAATACTGAATGAAGAATGTTGCCATAAAGTTCAATTGCAGTATGGCAGAAAATGTCCTGTTAATTCTCTTCCTTTCACTTGTTTTCCTGTTAAGCTTTGTCACAAGGGTCTGCGAATGGAAATAAGTGTTACACCTGTATTAACAATGACTGCACAGGAACTGTGAACTGTGCGGGGACTGAAGATCGCTGCATCAGTGCCACAGGTAAAAACTGCATACGTGTTTAAGTGTCTAAAATGTAATTTTATGCAACATTTGTGCGAATTTATGCACAAGCATGTTACAACCTCTCTTTGTCGATTAGAATTAAACAGACCAGTTTTATTACTGTCTATAAGACTGATATATTGTTGCTGTAGGAACAAAATAATCTTTTCCAAAATGGTTATGTTTCAAGAGAAAGAGAATCTCTTAGCTTTTAAAATGGAAGTTGTTGATATATATATATATATATATATATATGCTATCAGAACAAACCTTGTATCTCCATGTTTGTCGTTTTTCAGTTTTTGACATAATTTGGAAACACTGTGTATTGGTCCTATGTATTGTGTAGAATTTTCATGGTGAATGGACCAACAGAAACGACCCAAAAGTACTCAGAAAAAAGTCTGGTTCCATTGACTTACATTAAAAGTAGAGTATGTTTATCCTTCTCCTGTAAAGTTTTGGATACAAGGTTTTGATCTGACAGATATATTTTTTTAAAACTGACCATTTCATAATGAATAGAAATGGTCCAAAATGGAATGGAAGTCCTTATTATTATAAGGAATTTTGGACCATTTCTGTTTGTCCATCATGACATTTTCATACAGTGTAATAAATGGAGATGCAAGATCTCGTTCCCACAGTGATGCTGTTCTGATTGACTATGCTGTATTAAGCCTCCACAAAAAGTAATCCAGGCTGAATCAATTCTTATAATTTAAGAGTCAGTGGGCGGGGCTAAACTGCTGTGGGCTGAACTGCCAGATGTATATGTATGTTTTTATGTGATATCACAAAATCTGTTCATTCAAAATAGTCTGTTATAGCAGTGTAACTTCCATATTGATTGTATAAACAGGAGAGTAATATATATATATATATATATTTATATATATCATTTGAACAATGTTTACATACTACAAAGTCTTTAGTTTCAAAAGATTTAAGAAAACTGTATTTTTTCCCATTAAATTGGCCTTTTTAAAGTGAAAACTAAGGAAAATAATTTAAGAAAAATGGCAAAAACATGTCATCTGATTTTGACTTCTAAATGTATTAACATAACTAACTTCTCTCTCTGATCTACACCTGCATTCACAGTTTACTACAGTAATAGTCAAGTGACTGCGAAAGGCTGTGTGAGCAAAAGTCTCTGTACTACGGACACATCAAACCTGCAGGCAGTTGGAGTCACTGGAAGTGTGACCTGCTGTGAGGGGAACCTGTGTAACAGTGCTGAGGGGGTTAAACTGAGTCTCCTCATCATGCTGGTTCCTCTGCTCTCCTCCATCCTCTTCATCTGAACTTTCTGCTGCTCAAACACCTTTTTACCATTTTTCTTTTCTATATTTTGAGACTAGCAAGAGTGTATATGTTACAAGATGACTAAATGGAGAGTCTTAATGTTTTTACTAATGGTTTCTGTAATCAAAGTAAGTTGAATAAACAGTGTGCAAAGTGATGCAGTCTGGTTTCATCTGATATACGGACCCTTCTACAGAATAAGTTCCATACACACACAAAAAAATAAAAATAAAAATAAAAAAAATACTTACAAAACCAATTAATCATTCAGACAATCACATATATGAAACCCATTTCCAAAAAAAGTTAGGAGGCTGTGCAGAATGTAAATAAAAATAGAATGCAATGATGTGCAAATCAAGTAAACCATATTTTTTAAAGGAAAAAACTACAAAGACAACATATCAAATGTTGAAACTGAGGCATTTTATTGTTTTTTGAAAAATATATGCCCATTTTTAATTTGATGCCAACAACGCATTCTAAAAAAGTTGGGACGGGGGCCTGTTTACCACTGTGTTTCATCACCTCTTCTTTTAAGAACACGCTGTACACGTTTGGGAACTGAGGAGACACTGCTGTAGTTTTGAAAGTGAAATGTTTTCCTGTTCTTGTTTGATACAGGATTTCAGCTGCTCAACAGTTCGGGGTCTCCTTTGTTGTATTTTTCACTTAATAATTCAGCAATGTTATCAGATCTGGACTGCAGGCAGGTCAGTTTAGCACCTGGACTCGTTTAATACAGAGCCATGCTGTTGTAATACATGCAGAATGTGGTTCGGCATCGTCTTGTGAAATAATCAAGGCCTTCTCTGAAAAAGACGTCGTCTGGATGGCAGGATATGTTGCCAAAACATGTATATATCATTCAGCATTAATGGTGCTTTCACAGATGTGCACATCACCCATGTCATGTGCACTAATGCCCCCCATACCATCATGAATACTGGCTTTTGAACTGTGCACTGATAAGAAGCTGAGTGGTCTTTAGCCCAAAGGACACAGTGTCCATGATTTCTAATAAGAATTTCAAATGTTGATTTGTCAGAGCCCAGGACACTTTTCCACTTCACCCCAGTCCATTGTAAATGAGCTCGGGCCCAGAGAAGGTGGCAGCGTTTCTGAATCCTGTTTCTATATGGTTTCTTCTTTGCGTTTTAGAGTTTTAACTTGCATTTGTGGATGCAGTGATGAATTGTTTGCACAGACAGTGTTTTTCAGAAGTGTTTCTGAGCCCATGCAGTGATTTCCACTACAGAATCATGTCTGTTTTTAATGCAGTGCCGCCTGAGGGCCCAAAGATCATGGCCAGCAAATACTGGTTTTTGGCCTTGTTCCTCACATACAGAAATTTCTCCAGATTCTCTGAATCTTTTAATGATAGTATATACAATAGATGAAAAAAAGCAAAAATTATTTTCTATTTTATGTTGAGAAATGTTATTCTTGAATTGTTGCACTATTTGATCGTGCAGTCTTTCAGAGTGGTGAACCCCTCATTGTCTTTACTTCTGAATGACTCAGCCTCTCTGAGATGCTCTTTTTGTACTCAATCATGTTACTGACCCGTTGCCAATCAACCACCAGGTGTGTTTTAGCATTACACAACTTTACTAGCCTTTTCTTGCCCCCGTCCCAACTTTTTTGGTGCTGGCATCGAATTCAAAATGGGCATATATGTTTTGACATTTGATATGTTGTTTTTGTACTGTTTTCAATAAAATATAGGGTTTAAATGATTTGCACATCATTGCATTTTGTTTTTATTTACATTTGGCACAGCGTCCCAACTTTTTTGGAAATGGGGTTGTACAAGGACTGGTACAATCTATTTAAACACAAGGCATTAACTGATAATGTAATAAGTTAAATATATACAAAAGCATAATTTATAGGGTACTCTATTGGTAGGTGTCTGTCCCAAACCCTAATTTACATTTGTCAAAGTAATATTTACTATTTGTATTTGTTTAAGATCTTTTTGAAAGATGTGAGTGAATTTGAAAGATGTACATTTATCTTGAGTTCCATTTTAAAATGTAAAAAAATCATGTAACTACCAAAACACAGAGTTTTAATCTATAGGCAGAGCCTTATTTTAGCCACACCCCTGCATTTTAGAGCAGGATGTGAGACTGCATCCCTGACCCTCATGGCCACATACATTTCTTTAATGTAAAGTATATTCAGTTACCATCCACTAAATCAATATGACTTGCACTTGTAATAGTGGTGCACTATTTTTTTTTACGTGCTATTTAGTGAGGTAGTATGCAGTTTGGGATGCAGCCCTCGTCTTTACTGTGTGAGGACACGCTCTCAAACAACATGGCTAGCAAACTTTAGTGAACTCCATGCAATCGAAAGTCACTCGAGCCTCCAAGGTGAATAAACTTGCCCTGCAAGCAAAACCACATCACTCCACATACCATGAAATGATGCTATGATAAATTGTGATACAACTAAACTAAAGCCACAGACCAAAGCTTCAACAAAGCTAAATAAAACTAGCTAAAAACCAGCTAATAAAACATTACTACTTTCATTCTTCTTAACATGAGTGGAATTTAAATCCCTCTTCTAGAGTAAACAATAATCAGTACAGGACTGTGGCACTGCAGGACTGCATACCTCTGCAGTGTAGCATTGCATGTTGAGATGTAACACTGGACATACACTGATCAGGCATGACATTATGACCACCTCCTTGTTTCTATGCTCATTGTCCATTTTATCAGCTCCGTTTACTATATAGGTGCACTTTGTAGTTCTACAATTACAGACTGTCCATCTGTTTCTATACATACTTTGTTAGCCCCCTTTTACCCTGTTCTTCAGTGGTCAGGACCCCCATGGACCCTCAAAGAGCAGGTACTATTTGGATGGTGGATCATTCTCAGCACTGTAGTAACACTGATGTGGTGGTGGTGTGTTAGTGTGTGTTGTGCTGGTATGAGTGGATCAGACACAGCAGTGCTGCTGGAGTTTTTAAACACTGTGTCCACTCACTGTCCACTCTATTAGACACTCCTACCTTGTCAGTCCACCTTGTAGATGTAAACCTCATCTGTTGCTGCACATTTTGTGTTGGTCATCCTCTAGTCCTTCATCAGTGGTCACAGGATGCTGCCCACAGGACGCTGTTGGCTGGATATTTTTGGTTGGTGGACTTTTCTCAGTCCAGCAGTGACACTGAGGTGTTTAAAAACTCCAGCAGCACTGCTGTGTCTGATCCACTCAGACCAGCGCAACACACACTAACACACCACCACCACATCAGTGTTACTGCAGTGCTGAGAATGATCCACCACCCAAATAGTACCTGCTCTGTGAGGGTCCATGGGGGTCCTGACCACTGAAGAACAGGGTGAAAGGGGGCTAACAAAGTATGCAGAGAAACAGATGGACTACAGTCTGTAACTGTAGAACTACAAAGTGCACCTATATAGTAAGTGGAGCTGATAAAATGGACAATGAGTGTAGAAACAAGGAGGTGCTCATAATGTTATGCCTGATCCGTGTAAATGAAGGTACGCTAAAGGTAAAAGTGGCCCTCAAACTCTGTATCAAGCTGTACGAAGTGTTCTAGTCTCAAATACTCAACAGAGTTCTTCCGTCTGGTCATCACTGGTCTTAATGCATGCATGAATAAAGGAGTTAATTAATTCATATCTTAGCAATGTTGACCTATGGTTAGAAAAGCTACCATTTACAAACTGCAGTGGGATTTTACAGCCTGCCCTGCAATTTCTTACTTTGTTTATTCTGTTTATCTGAGCTGAATCCTGATGGGTTTACTTTCAGTTTTAAAGACAAAGAATGTGACTCATGCTACTATCAGCAAGCGAATCTAGCTTTAAGTGTAGGGCAGGATATTTGTGATGTAGACGCCTCACGTACAAAAGGCTTCAGTTCTTTATGACTGTTCTCTTGTGTCTATTATAAAATTGTTAAATAATTTGTAATCAATAATGTTAAGACGTTTCATTGATGTTATGTTAGAAGTAAAAATACAGCCAGAACTACGTTCTAATAGAATTTAATTTTGAATCTTACAAGTGCAATACTTAATAAGTGAAATATGTCATTATTATGCAGCATTTTGTTTTAGTTGATCTGATTCTGATGTTATTTGACATCTACATCTACGACCTCACATGAGTCAGGTAGACTTGTGCTTGTTTTGACAGAGCAGTCAGGATTGATCTAATGTGCATCTGGTTATTAAAACTGTATTAAAACTCTGTTAAGGTAATGACAGAGACATAAGACAGGGCATAAGAGTTCAGCATAGCATGATCCATACACAAACCGGTTTTCTACTGCCCCACTGGATCCCTCTCTAACGGATTATTCCTTGGAATATTCTGGCTCTGTCCCCTCATTATCCCCAACACATGTGTCCTGTCATGTTAGACTGTCTCTGTTTGTATGCATTGCTCTGGTGTTGTATTGTTTTCAATAGAGAGTTTTTAACTGTGCCTAGTCATTTCTGATTTTTGACCTTAGCCCGTCTTTGTGTGTTGTTGGTTATTGAACTGACTGTTTTGTTCCCGGCTGCCTGTGTTTTACCAAAACAAAACAACAGCCGACTTATTCATGAACAACACATGAAAGCAACTTTAGAAATGCAAAAGCAGGTATCATCTCAACAGTGTCAGAAACGCTGCCGGCTTCTCTGGGCTAAAGCTCATCTGAAATGGCCCGATGCACAGTGGAAACGTGTACTGTGGTCTGATGAGTCAACCTTTTTTTTAGGAAATTATGAATGATGTGCTCTCCAGGCTAAAAAAGGAAGGATCTATCCTCATTATTAGCATTCAAAAGCCAGGGTCTGACATAACATAGTGGGGTATTAGTGGACAACTTGCACATCTGTAAAGGCACCATTAACAGATTCAACATGAACCCATGTTGGAGCAACATATGCTGCCTTCTAGACAACATGTTTCAGGGATATCCATGCTTATTTCTGCATGACAACACCAAGAGACATTCAGCACATGTTAGAACAGCATTAATCAG